TTCGGCATGCGCTTCTCGGCTTAAAGCGATGAAGCGATTCGCTTTTTAAAAACACTGCTTTCCTGTGTGTTGTTTTTTGGATTCAGGTTGTTCCATGATCGTATTCTCATTGATAGTCAACTTCATCTCTTCTTTGTCAATTTAAGAACATTTACTTCTCCCAGTGTTTCCCTACCATAATGGTGGTATGGGTCGAGTTTGTTTGGAAATTAATGAAAGGTGCGGTTTACTTTATGAAAGGATATAGAAATACATGGTATCCAAGATTTAACTGTGAAAGTACAGATCTCTTTATATCCGAAATATTTGGTGGACATTTTGCTTTTGCCACAAAGATTATAACTATTTGAATATGCTTTAAGACAGATGCTAAATAAAGATAAAGGGCATGTTGGTCAAACTTGTGTGTTCGTTAGTGAATTCCTTTGTCCTTCATTTCTAGGTTAAGATCTGGTTGAGGTAGGATTGAAAAAGTGGTACATATGAAACATAAGAAACAGCTTTAGTTTCAGATGTTACTTTAATCAATTTAGAATGGGTAAGTTAATGCTGTAATTGCTTGAAGTTCATTGCAATAACTGTGCATGTACTTTTTCTTGCCTTCCATGTTCTATTTGAACTTCTGCCAGTTGACCTTTGCAGACAGTACGTGTGGTGGCAAAGCTCTGAAAATGGAAATTATGACTGTAAAGATACTTGAAGATCACAGTGCTGAGGTACTTCATCTTGTTTATCTCATTTAATTAATACTGAAAGTTATGATGTTGTTTGGCTTTTTGAATATTTTAACAAGGGTGCTACTAGTTATCCTGTTTGGACGAATTAGATGGTATGACCTTTATTATGGTATTTGGCTTTCTTGTAGCCTTTGTTGGTTGGTTGCATTGGTATTACGACCTAAACGTTTAGTTCGCGCATTTGGTGTTTCTTTCTTAGGCTGAATTGAAAGAGATCCGTGCCTAAGTGGTGAAAAATTGGGATGGAAGATCATTCCATAGGTGGCCTGATGCTTATTGTATGATTAATGGTTGTCTATGTTCACCATGAATATCTGTGAGGAAGCAATATGAACAAAATTTGAGAAAAGGAACAATTTTTAGGCTAGAGAGAGACAGGAGCGAAAAGGAGGAGAAGATAGCTGGCTGTAGTGTCATTATTCTTTTAACCAGAGCTAGCCGCATTGTTTTTTTCCAACCTCTAAAATACATACTGAGTGGGTCAAAGGAAGGAATGCTCTTACACTCATTCCACTTGCTTGTGGGAAAACCCTAAGATTTCTGTGGAAATTGGTAATACCTTGTTCCTGCCTTGTTTTATTAGACAAGTTCTTCAGAGCATGAATGTTACTGTCGACTTCAAATATGGTCCCGCAACTGAAATTTTTGCTTCTCTGTTACTATAGGAATTTTTAACGTTATTTATCTACCAATAAATTCAAGGTGCAGCTGTCACAGTCCAATTGCAAACCAATAAGTACTTTGTGACTGCTTCTCTTAGTCACAGGGATGTAACTGCCTCTGGGTTATTGCCTTGCTCAGAGTAATCTTGCTCTTTGTTTCTTTTCAAGAATCAATTTCAGATTCTGGGGTCATCATCTAAAGTTCTAAATGCAGGTAGCAGATGCTTCAGAACTGTAGGGCTACACATCTGCTGCATTTTCATCCTGATGGGTCTGATCCTGGAGCA